GTACCTGAAATAGTGTTCCCGGTGTGCTAGGGGTGTAGTCACCATCTCTGCCGTACCTGAAATAGTGTTCCTGGTGTGCTAGGGGTGTAGTCACCCTCGCTAGGGCAGGTTAGCGTGTGTCCTGTGCTGAGTCCCGAGGCTTGGGAGCTGCAGGAGTCACCCTCCACTGTGTTATCCAGTGTCTTTCACCTAAGGAAGGCACTGATGTGGGAGAAAAGCCAGTGCGTTGTGTTACAGCGTAGTGACAAAAATGTTAGCCTTGGCACGGCTTTAGGGCACGTCTGTGGCATATTTACAGCTGTTCCACTGTGTGGTGTGGGTGGATCATGAGCTATGATCTTGTCCAGTTTACGGAAGGGAATTATGTTGCCTTGGGTGCCTGCAGGAAGATGTTAAGGTTGGGATGTAGGATTATTGTCCTTACGAGGTGGGTCAGTCAGTTAGCTTTGACTGCTGCCTGTGCACTGGTCTGGAGTCTGTTCTAGGTGGCTGAAATAATCAGCCGTATTCCTATTTTAAATAGACTTCTGTGTGTAAATAAACTTAACCTGGTAAAAAAACCTAAATTATTAGTCCTGAGTTGTAGAAACTTGCTGCCTTTGTCCAAGCAAGTAGGCCTTGCTACAATATTCAGTTACATGCATCCTCTCAATTAAATAAGGCCACGTTTTCTCCTGAATCCAGCTGTGTTTGAGGGAGAGGTCAAATTCACCATCTGTTTCTTCTCAAGACTCTGCTGGGGATTTGATCTACCAGCAACATGGTTTGTGTAGCTCATCCGTGTTCCATCTCAAAAAATCTTCGTCCAAACCACCATTTACAGCTTTTTGAGTTGACCTGGCTGATTTTTTTTCTTTCTTTTCAATCATGTCGGGTAAACTCATGTGCAGAGGTAGCTTGATAGGATTAAGTCTTTATCAAGTCTTTATCAAGTATGTGTTTGCAGTAGTTTGGAGGCAGTGCCCTTTTTCATTGATGTACCTGAGTCTGGATGAGATCATCTACTTGTAATTTGCATGCATTTTTTTCCACGTATTCATTTTTTAACTGGCTAGGCTAGGGACCTCGGAAATGAGAGTGAGTTTAAACACATTAAGGAGCGTTAGACACATTTTCCAGCCTAGAATCTGATCAAGTGGATTTTTTTTTTTTTTCAGAATTATTTTGGGGCCTCTCTACATGAATAAGCTATCACTCCTGTTTTGCTTCCCCAGTGTGGCTGCGTTCTTGTTTTGTTTGTTTTTTGGTTTGTTTCTTTAAGTTGCATTGGTACATTAATGTAAAGTGGTAGATGTATTAGGTTTCACTGTTGCATATTTTTGTTTAAGAAATTACTTCAGAGTAGTGTTGTGTGTTTGGACTATCAGGACAAACTGTTTTATGTCCTTTTCCAACCTGGGTCCTTGGCTCTCTGTTGTGTCTCCTGCTGTTCTGAGGTCGCTGATAGCTAGATACCACCTTGGTGAACAGAACGGGTTTACATTCCAGCACACATTGTGCTTTGATGCTCTAGGCGGCCGTTTTCTTCTCACTCGTGACTTGTTCTAGCTTCCTGCAAACCTGAATATGTCTTCCTTCTGTTTCTGTATTTGAGTCTGTGCTAATGTCTAAAGGTTTCTTGTGCTTCAACTTTGTCCTAGTGTGCAACAAGTCTTTATCTGGGGTTACCAGACCTGGGAATTAGGAGAGACTGGTCATTGAAAGATAAGGCAGGTGGGCATCACCAGATTGCAGCCCTCTTTGCATAAAAGACTTCTGAAGGACTTGAAACAGACCTCCAGGTAGGAAATGAGTCTACAGCAGAAAGCTGTCTGGACAGTGTTGGTTTTGAATCATTCTGTGTAGCAGGCACAAGAGAAAGCTGGAGCGGAGAAGGCTTCATATGTAGCAGAGCTTGAACCAGACCCCAGTCACAGAGCAGAAGCCCTGCTAGCTGTGTGCCTAGGTCTCATGGCTCCTCTAACGCTGGAAAAACATACTGCAGATACTGGGCCCTCTTGTTTTTGTTTTTTTAGACAAAGCAAGCTTCTCCACCTAAACATAACAGGATTAAAACAGGGAGGAAGGATGTGGAAGGGCAGAGTACACCCAGCGACTGGTAGCACATTCACCGGCCACAGGCTCTGCTTGTTAAGAGCTGCTGCTCTTGAGCTCCTCTTTTGCTCTGCTTGCTCCCATTGCTGGATTTCTTTAGGTGGAACTAGATGTATAGCTGAGCACTCACCACTAGCTTTTTAGAGAGCTGGATAGGTTTCTATGGACTGTCCTTACCCCTTAGGTATTGCCACCACACATCTCTGATCCTCCCGTAACTTGCTAAATGCCTCCCCAAGGACTGCAGACACCTTCCCTTTCGCTGCGTGCAAGGGTGGGAGCTTGGACGTGTTAAGCACGGGTGGCCTTGGGGTTCTGGAGGCTGCAGATCGGCGGCCTGATGGGCTAGGAGGAAAGCAGGAGGCAGCCGGTTTGTTTAGGTGGAGCAGCTCTTCTAGTCGCATTGACTTCCTAATGTCCTGCTGCAGACCTGTTTGCACTGGTTGTGCACTCTTGGCTTTGTAGTTCATGTACAAAGCGTTTGTTTCCTACTCAAAGCATATATATATTTTTTTCTGTTATCACAAAGAATCCATCTCTGGTACAGGCTATGTACAAAGCTAAAAAAACCCCCCAAAAGTTGGAGCAAGAGAAAAACTCCAAACAGAACGGATATCATAAAGCAAGTGTATTGGAATGAGTCAGTGTCTTGCACTGTAAAATAATTGCATTAAAAATTAAAAAAAAAAAAAAAGTAGAGCCTTAGTTAAAACTGTTGAAATAGTAAAAGCCCTATGAACAATCAGTGAAAGTAACACGGACTGGGAGAAGAGCAGAGAAGCCACTTAGGGTGTTTTTAAAAAGTGTTTTGTCTCTGGCTGGGTATAAGTTTTCACACTAAATAAGTAATTGTATAAGTAACCTCTGCTTTTACTACTGCAAACAGAAATGGAAGAATGCAAAAGGGACCCACGCTGCTGCCACTGCTGCTCTTAGGCTTACTTTGAAAAACTCTGCTGGCAGACATTTCATTTTTCTTCTTCCTTTCTTCAGCTGTGGTTTTTAGAGCAGGGGCTTGAACCAAGTGCAAGCCTTGTTGTGTGACTGGAGCTGGATGACACTGTGGCTGGGCCTCGGGTCGGTTTTATTAGCTGCTGCTATGTGTGTGCTTCTACTTAAATACCTGCTTGTTTTGCTCCATTTGTAAGACTTGCAAGACCCGGGGAGCAAATCTGGAAATAGCCTTTGGACTGAGTTTATACTTCAGAGTGACAACATTAAAATTGCTACGTGGCTCTTCCTGCTTCGGGGCAGCCTGGGGAAGCCCCGTGTTTGGGAGTGGGGCGAGCAGAGTTCTCTGCGGCCGCCTGCCCTTCAGTTCGTAGATTCACATCCTCTTTGGGAAGTTCCTGCCTGCATTAAGCACTCTGCATTTTTGATCACCTTTATTTATGCTTCGGAGCATTGCAGTGTGATGAGATGCAACACTGGAGATGGGGATTCCTTTAAAGAAACTGTGCCCCTGGCGAGCCGCTTTAGGAGCATGTCAGAGTATTAGTTTAAATTCCAGTTTCTTGTATGGCTGTTATCTTGGGTTTTTTTTTTTTTTTTTTTTCTTTTTAATTGATTTGAGTTTATTTGAAAGCGTCAGTCTGTTATTAGGATGCTGAGCTCTAGGTTAAAATTCCATTACACTGGAATGGAGTCTGGCTTGCAGTGGATCTCTAACTTCTCTCCAATGTGGACACAGTAGTTTAGGACTTTTCAGCTGCTTTAAGGAAGAGAAGTGCACTTTTCTAGAATAATTAGAACATTAAAAATTAATGATTTATCAATAAGTAATACATTTAATGTTCCAGGATTTCTTCTCCTCCCCGTATGATGGAATGAATCTTTTTGTGACCAGCATGGATATGAGAACATTGTCAAGATGGTTAAGAATTGCAACAAGGAGCAAAGTGAAAGGACAAGTGAGGAAACTTATATTTATTACCACTTCATTCTATTTTACTTATGTTGTTTCTTTGCTTGATATAAGAGAAATTCATAGCTTAAATCAAGTAGATATCCTTAGCAAAACTTAGACCGGAGTGCAACTTGGCACACTGGTAATTTGTTAAGTGTTCTTAGTCTATTTAAAATGTATGTGTATAGCTCAGTGTTAAAACTTTTCCTAAAATTACATAGTCCGTGAACAAACTATCCATTTTGTTTCCTGTTCTGTTAATTTCTTTGTCAGGAGGGGGCACCCGCATCTATTGACATCTAATTTATATGTTGGACAGTATGGTTTCCTGACAGAAGAGTGTATTGTATTTTTTAACTGCAAAATCTTTATGAAATGTGCCATCAGTGCTGGATTTTAAAAGATGAAAGGGGACCCACTGCAGAGCAACTCATTGAAGCTCAAAATGTAAGTTCTATATCATTATTATTTGATTTGAATAACAAGTACAGACTTTTTTCAGCCTCCAAAATGTCAGTGTGTTTCTAAAGCCAACCATTACATGATAAATATTTTATGTAGTTTGAAATTCAAAAAATGGCTAAAAATAATCTGTTATATGTATGCAGTTACCTCCTATAAATTGCTCAAAGAAATTAAAAAATATATATAAATCAGGCAACTTTGGTCATATTTCTGGAAACTTGCATTAGGTCAATGTTGGATTTTGGTGACTTATATGTCGTGTGAACTTGATCATGACCTGAATATTTTTAGCAAATCTTGAAGAGTGCTTAGCATATGTTTATATGTTTCAGTAAAAAGTTATCATAATGACATTGATGTGTTTTGGAGGGCTATGGGGAGTTCTTAGATTTTTGTTTAGATGATCTTAATTGTTTTTAATTCTTTAGTTTATGTGTCAAAGAAAGATTCCATTTCATTTTTTTTTCTAGATAAAATCTTAAAACTACTGTGCTTCGTCCATCCAACTCCTTATGGGTAGCAGTGCTGAAAAAAATATCTTGAACTCATAATCTACATGTAAAACTAAATTCTGGCTACCTAGAAAGTTTGCTGATGTTAAATCCTCGTGAGCTGATAATCTTCTGCTTTCTCTTTTCTAGGATGCTAAAACGTGGAAGTCATTTTATGGAGGATGCCAGTCTCTCAATATCTCTTTACTTCTTCAGATTACTTGATAAAGAGGTAATTTTCATGCAGGTAAATTTTTGTACCTATGCTTACTTTTGGTAGCCAAAGATCCTTAGCATTAGGACATGTGTAGTTTTGAAGAAGACCAGAGAGATGCTTGTGATTTCTCTGTTAATTTTTAGTTGTATTTTTTTAAAGGTGAGGTTGAGAGTGCCACAGGAGTATTCTTTTCATCAGTGCTGAAATGAAACAGCTATTTGCTTTAATTGACTGTGTGTAGAACAGTGATACTCAGAATGGAGTAGTGAACATCCGAGGATTTTGCAGCCTCTGGCTAACTGTCTAGATTTCATTTCAGTGTGTTCAGTCTAGCCTTGCTCTTCTAAATCATTATGATATTGCGACTCCCTTTTTAATGTTGGGGAAAAAAAGTCTCATTCGTGGCTAGCCCCACACTGCTCTATATTTTATTGTTTAGAAACTACAAATGAAACTACAAACCTTGCAAGATTGATGATTGAAGCAGCTTTGACTCCTAGATTGTTGCAGATTATTTGTTTTCTAAATAAATTAATTTTCCAAAAGAGAAATCTGAATATCTAAAAATATAAGTCCATAGTTAATGTTCTTTTTAAAGTTCAGGACATGCTCTTAAAAGTATATATGAATATATTAGCATGATCTCTTAAATAATAAAAATGAGCTTATGGTAACAATACATTGTGCTTTATGTCGTCACATACTTCTATTTCTTTATACTTTCATTATGCTTGGTAATATCTACAGAGGTATTTCCAAGGAATTTGCCCAGGAATTGCAGTGACAATATGATGGTAAACAAAGCAGCATCTGTCAAAATACCTCTGCAGTAGTGGTCATGGAAATACCTTATTTGAAAAGAAGTCATGCATAATGATGGCCTATAATGTTATTAAGTCACAGCTTTGTGACTTGCACTTCATCCAGATGTATTAGGTGAAAGCATAAATCAACCCTTGTACAACCTTTAAAGTCTTGGCAAAATTTCTATAAATCATTAAGAGCATGTGCAAATTTTGAGGTGACAAGTATCTTTTCTGCCTGCTAAGTCTATGCTGAATTGTTTAATTCTGGCTCCTTTATAGACTACAATTTCATTTTAGAATCTAGGAGTATTTTCAGAATTATCCAGGTAATCAGTCAAAGAAGAACTTTTTTTTTTCCACTCAAAATTAAAAAAAACAAAACACATTTTTATTTTGATACCTGCTCTTTTATTAGAGGACAAAGCAAACTTCATTTCAGAAATGGCTCCTGAGAAAATAAAGGAAGACTTCTAAACTAAACTAATTGATAAAATTGGGGTAAAGAAGGCTTCGGTAAACTCGGAACAAAGAATGCTCTGTAGTAAAATAAATTTGAATTTAATTTTTGAGTTTTGTTTTCTGAACTAAGGAGAAAAGAGATAACACAAGTGTTGAAGAATTTCTTAATCTGTAGAAGGAAAAGTTGCTTTTGGAAAAGCAGAGGTAATATTTTAGGTAAAGCATGGAGGAAACACAGATATGGATTTATTTCTTAAATTCCTTTTTGATCTAAATCTCCATGTTTATTTCAACCTTTTTCTCAGTCACATATTTGATAAAAGGTTAATAAATATAGGACTGACAAGAATAAATTTAAAACCTTTACCTTTTTACTATGATTTTTCTGTTGTATTTTTCTTATTTCTTCCTCTGTAATAATATTGAAGATTTGTAGTAATGAATTTACTGGATTTTTAGGTCTCAAGACCACTTCAGCAGAAGCTGAGCTTGAAAACAAGAACTGTGAACATTGCAATATAGGTAGAATCTTTTTCTATAAAACACAATACTTGAAGCATGTTAAAACAGTGAGGGAAGTAAAGTGTAGGTGGAGTTGGAATGACATATGATGATAAGGAAAGTGATAGCGAGTATGTGATTAATTCCAATAAACAGTTTAGGCCTCATTAATACTGAGGTAACACAATGTAATTTATTGGTCTGGATTCAGGCAGACGTAAGTATGTGAATTTGTTAGTTTATTATTTGTCTTAGTATGTAATCGGGTGTGCAGTACCTGGATAAGGAAAATAGTGAAGAAAGCAAATCAGTTATTAGAAGATGTGGCTAAAGAGAATGTCTCTTAGCAGCGGTTCCTTATGGGACTGATTTATTACCGGGGATTTGGATTGAAGTGTTAACAGCACTAGGAGTATTTTGGTTAAAATTCTCTAGCTGTTTAGTAACATCAAGGTGTGTGAATAGCTCCTCCCTTGCAGGAGCTTTCCTTTCTCACTGAACCTGTTGTAGTGAATCACAGAATCACATTTTTAAGCTCTGAAACATTTTACTCTAGGGAATGTCTCAACCTGTTTTATAGGCTGAAGGGTGAGTCAAACAGGAGTACGAGTTTGAAATTCATGACGTACTGTAATTTTTTTTTTTTTTGTATTTTTTGTTTAATTTTTGTGACAGTAAAGACAACGTGGCTTGTGGAACAGCAGCTTCCTGGCCTGCTGTTCCACAAGAAAACATGCTGATGTTCATTCAATAACTGAAGAATGGCTAAAAAAAATATAATTAAAAATATAGTTCTGGTTGTCCCAAGTCATTCTGACTGGCTGGCTAGCAACTTCCACTGTTGTCTCCCCTTCGTTTTTGGAAGTCTGTCTCTTCCTGTGTGTTGTTTTCCTTCTCTCGTGTATTTTGTTCTCTCTAACGTCTTCATTGTTTGACATCCGTCTCATCTACCTAAGGTCAAACCACGTATGGTGGAAACTCCTGAGATCCTAGGTTGTCTGTTTTTCCTATTAAAAAAAAAATCCACAACTTGGGAGTGTAGGAGGCCCCCTCTTTGTAAATGATATTTCTCATGGCTCTTGGAATAGGTTGCTCAAGAGCGGTGGAGAGGCACTGTCAGCATCCCACGTGGACCTGGCGTTGCCGTTTGTGCCGCAGATCCGGGGAGGAAGGGCTGCCCGGCGCTGCCCTGGCTTTCCCTGTTCATGCTCAAGTGTCCATCTCTGGCACAGTGAACTTTATATGGAACAGTTGTTTATGTTCTGCTCGGGAATGGCCATCAGGCAGAGAGGCTTTCCTGGAATTTGGACGGCAGGTTTTCACACTGCCCGAGGTTCGTTGATCTCCTGAATGGGTCTTTGTGAAAACTTAGTAATGGTTTTAATAAGAGGAGTTTCACGAGAACATATCAGAGCTCTGGCATCGTTTAATAGGAAGAAAAAAAAATGGAATCATGCTGTTTGAATATACTTCAGGGAATAATTGCTTTCGTTTTCTATGCAGAAGTCATGTAATAACTACAGTGGTTCCAGATGCCATGATGCTTTAAACTAAGGGTATTAAAAGCTTCTATGGGAGAAGTGGGGGAGGAGGAGGGCAGAACCTCCAGAATCACAGAACTGTTGAGGCTGGGAGATGCTTCTGGAGATCCAGCCTGCCACTCAAAGCAGGGTCAGCTGGAGAACTGTGTCTAGGCGGGTTTGGAGCATCTCCCACAGTGAGCCCAGGCCAGCTGGGCAATCTGCCAGTGTTTGAACACTGACCAATTTCCATTGTTTACTTCTAGAAATACCAATGATAATAATAACAATATAAAAAAGGACTTGTTTTGGAAGACTTATAGATGACTTGGAGATGTTTGTTATATTTTCCGGTACTTTTGTAAGCGGAGCAAAGGGTCTGAATTTTTAACAGAATGTGAGTGGTTTGTGTGTTTGCTTTTTTTCCCCCACTTTTCTGGACTTTTTGAACTCTTTTACTTTCCAATAATAAAGTGATTATCAAATTAGGTGGAAAAGAAGACTGCTATTTTGCGGCCAATCATTCAAGAAGAAAGCCAGCTCCTGCAAAGTGCTTTTCTGGATACCAGTGGGTTGTTCAGGATCTTTTCATTATCTAAAGAAGAGATGTGTGGAAAAGTGGCCTATGTGTCTGGTAAAAGTTTGTCCATTCTCTTCCTTCTAGGTCTCCCACTTGTGATGTGCCCTTCCTGGCTAGGACGGGTTTATTTTGATTTCTAAGCTTGGTACTGTCAAACTCCAGCCAACAAACAAAAACAAAAAGAAGCTGATTTTTGGAAAAGAAGATGCCACGGAAAAGGAAAACTGGTGGGAGTCCTTCTCGGAAAAGTGGGAATTTCGACAGGACTGCTTTTGCCATGTCACTTCATGGGAACCCCAGACTTTCAATACCACAAGCAATGTACAGTGTCAATAAGGAAGAGCTCTTCAACAGCATGTCAGAAATGTTTTCCGATCTGGATCCTAGTGTGGTTTATATGGTTTTGTCTGAATGTGATTTTAAAGGTAAACAAAACACAGTTGGCCTTACAGTTTTGTTGCACAAATAGCTCTTAAATCGGGCAACTCCAGCTCGGCGTGGGAGCTGCAAGTGTATTTGGCAGTGTAGCTTTTAACGAGTCGGTGAGTCAGTGTTTTGAAATCCCCTACCTCTTGCCAGGCAGGATTGCCCAGCTGGGGGACGTCGCGGTGAGGTGGTGAGTGGCACTACGGGGTGCCCTGGCAGAGCAGACCCGGTTCCCATGGCTTATCCTGTGACACCGGGCAGGCAGGGGCAGAGTGAGGGACAGAGTCCAGTTTTTCCAGCCGCTTTCTGTGCTACATCAATTAGATGCAGAAACTTTCTGCTGGAAGAGTGTACTAAATTCTACATCACAGCTTCTTAAGGCAGCGCCACGCAATGTATGGGCCTGGCAGCTTTAGCTGAAATGTTTGGCTTGTTCTTTTGTTTTAACTTTGTTTTTCACATCTTCTTGTCATTTCCACTGAGGGTTAGTTTTTGCTGGATAAATGCTATGCAGCCTTGGCTGAGCTGTGTGTCTGCCCCTACAGTGTGCCAAATTACTTACCCACTCCTAGTGGTCTCTTCATTTATGTATAAGATTTACCTTTGGCAAAGTAATAGCTTTATCTAGAACTTTATTGGAGAATTCAGTGGATATCTGCCTACCTATCGAGGGGTGTCCTATTGTAACTTTAGCATGCATGTTTTTTACTTTGGGTTGTGGAAATGTGTCCAAGTTTGTTACTGTGTTGTCGTTTTAAAAATGAAGAATATTTGAGAGATAGTCACTGTCTTCACATAGGTGATAATAGCTAGCCTTGTGTAGTAGACATGGTGGATTTAAATTGAAAGAGCATAGATCTCTGTGTGCAAAGGGAGTTTTACTTCAAAGAGCTTGCATTTTTTTTTCTGAATTTTCCTTCAGAAAGACAGAAACTTCGTTTCACGTCTCAAATGCTGCATGTTCCAGGTTTTCAGTCTGTTCAGACAGACCAGAGGCAACCTATACTTTGTATAGTGTCTCTACAAAGAATTAATGCAGACTTTTTTGAAGGCTGTTGCTTACGACACTAGACGCTATGAGACTAATTTGACCTAGTCATAATGAAAGTATTTTTTATATTTTTATCTCTTTAATCCTGTTTTTAACTGACATGTCTTTCAGTTAATTTCACATGATTTCCTCTGTATGATACAGCTTAGAAAGAAGCATCTGCTTAAAACATCCAGATCTCTCTTTTGTTTTGTTTCATTTTTTCCTAGTTAAGCTTAATATTTCTTCAGTTTTTTTTTTGTGTTTACTAGGTTACTGTTTTGCAATAAGTCTGTGTTCAGTTTTGTCTTTATCTCTAATGAGAAACAGCTCAAGTGGTTTGTGGGAGGTTGTTAAAAATGTAGGTTGGTAAGGTGCTTAACATTCTTTTTAGTTTTTTAAATGCTTCTTGATGTAAGAATTATATTTATATCGGCCTGTATTGCTTCAGTTGACCATTTTTTTTTCTCTTTACCTTCTTCAACAGTAGAAAGTGCTATGGATTATCTGCTTGAACTGTCCACCCATGCAAAAGGAGTAGCATCTTCAAAAATCGCAAGTTTTGACCCAGTTGTATCATCAGTAGCTCTTGTGAATCAGCAGAGATCTGATACAAATGAAAGAGTGAAGGAAAGTACTGCACAAGAAAATAGTTCTGAAGGAAGAGAAGAGGTCCTAGCACATGATATGCAGCTGACTGAGGAACTGGATTCCTTAATAGAGAATGCTTTTGTGAGGTACAGCTTTGGAGATGAATTGCCTGATTCTGCAGACGACCAAATCATACATGAACATGCTGTGGGCCAGGACAATTTTAGTGCATTTATTGATTTTTCTGAGTGGGAAAAACCTGATGCTGGTTGCAATGCCCTGTTTCCACAGGAAGTGGAGATGAATAATGAGAGTTTCGAAAACTTGGGCTGTTCTCAGCCACCTGTGCCTATGAGTGAGCTGAGCATCCACACAGGCGTTAGTTCTCCAGCTGAACTGGACCCTTTTGCACAGGCGCTGGGAGATCCTGGTTTGTCAGAAATGCCGGATGTAGCTCCAGAAACCTATAAGCAATGCAGTGGAGACGTGCCGTGTGGGAATTCCCATCAGATACAAAATACTGTGTCAGACCCTGAAAATGTGACCGTGGCTTCTGGTGGGGCCTTCCAGAAACCTGTGGAACAGGTAATGGCTGTCCCTGAAAATCCTAACTCCGCATGCCTGGAACAGCACAGATTGGAAATGGATGCCTGCAGCAGCAGCAGCCAGAGCTCTTTTCTGCCGGAGGTGAATGTCTCTCTTGAAAAATCCAATTTCAAAACACCAGAATTTGCAGATTTTCAGCAATCTCAGCAGGGACATGATGTCAATTTTTCTGCACCGCCATCTCAACCTCAGCAGCATTGGAATCCCTTGGCTCCCCAGTTTTATCCGTCCAGTGGAAGTCACAGCTTTGTAACTCCTGTGGCTGCTAGTCCGGGCCAGTGGAGACCTTTTTCAGACTATAAGACTTTTGAAATGAAAGGACTTTATTTTTCCTCTCCTGTGGTTTCCAATGCCTGGGATAGCAATGCTTCCTTGAAGGTATGGGGAAATCAAGATAGAAACTCAAAATTGAACCACTCGCAAGCACAGCAGCCACCCGTTTGTCACATGATGAGAAAAAAGATGCACCTTATAGGTCAAGTACTTGTTCTTCTCAGAGGTGTTCCAGGATCAGGAAAATCATTTTTGGCAAGGTAGAACATCTATATTGTGAGCTTGTAAAAGAAATTGCTTAATTGTTTCATGGGATTTAGTGGAGGCAGAGACAATTTTCTGACGTGTGTAAATAGCTGTAAATGCATAAACCCTGACGGGCAATCATATGGTACAGGCAACATCATGTGTAGTAACAGTTGCTGAGTTGCCTGCAGCAGCTCTAGTGCACACTGAAATAAGAGGATTGGCTCTAACTTCTGCCACAGGCCTAAGGGCTGGAGTGGAGTTAATGCCAGCAGAGGAGTAGCACAGTACCATTTAGCTCTACCATGTTCTTCCAGTGTCTCTGTTTCAGGTGTTTCCTTCCAGTTAAGCAAATGGAAACGTACCGAGTCTGTAAAGGTAGAAATTTCCTTTCCGTGGTGGGAATTCTTTTAAGAGAATTTGTGCAAGCAGCGTGTGTTGAACTGACCAGATCAAACCCTTGGTTTATATTGTTTTGTTTTGTTTTCCCTAACTCCCCAAAGCTTTGATTGTGTTGAGGCTTCCGTGCCTGGCGTCTGAAACATCTGGTGCAATGAAGACCATATACGTGTCTGTCAGTGCTGAAGTATGTCACTAGATATAGATGGAGAAACAGTTCTGATTTCTTGAAATGAGGCTTTCAGGTAGCCTCTAGCAGCTGTTTCCCCTACAACAGGGGTACAGACATCTCCAACCTTTGGAGAAAGGAGGGGAAATGATTATAGATCATCTTTGCCCCAAGGGTTACTCTTCCCACATGTGGAGTTGCTCCTTCTGTTCCTGGTAATGAGCCCTGCCTTTGGGGTTTTATTTGTGCAAGAGTCTGCCTGCCTGCATGGGAGCGAGTCTGTTGGGTGAGGAGGTAAAGGGAGAACCACTGTTTACCTCTTGATCTCCTGCAGGGCTTTGCTTGAGGATAATCCAGGTGGGATCATTCTTAGTACTGATGATTACTTCTACAAAAATGGACAGTACCACTATGATGCCAGTTGCTTGGGGGAAGCCCATGACTGGAACAGGAAACGAGGTGAGGAACGAAGCAGGCGTTTCCTTGCTTATTTACAGCTCAGTGTTTGGGTGCTCTCTGAAAAGCTGCCTGTCCTGTAATGCTTGTGCCACAGGATGAGTATTCATCCCATTTTAGAATTGTTTTTAGTAAGTGGAGAAAGGGTATGAGCACAAACTGGGGAGTGACCTATGCATGGTGTGTTTTACACACAAAAATGCCTGTATTTGTGTCAAAGGATTGTTTTTCTCCCAGATTCTCTCATGGTATGTATTTTGGGCACTGTCCTGTTTTTGGAGTGCTAATCTTTACCATCTCCCAAGATTGCTTCTTCTGAGATTAAGATGAACAATTGCAGGTGTGTATGCAGTAAATAATAAGGATGCTGATACAAATAACACCTACACAGAGTTTTCATGCTCTCTTTTTTTTTTCTCTTCAACAAGAGAGTTGTGATTGTTGACAAATTTAAGACAAAGATTGTAGGAATTGTAAGAACAACACAGAAGAAATGATGATGATGTTTTTACTGTAATCAGTGTGTTTTTTTGATGTTGGTTTCCACTAGACTCTTCACGAAACAGCAATTTTTAAGCTTTTATTTGCTCAATTTCAATTTTCCTGCTGTCGAATTTTTATCCTGCAGAAAAAAAGAGTTAATAAGTGATTCGATGACAACTTTGATAGTACAGATTCTTTGTAACATAGCTATAGAAACACGATGCTATATCTCAAAGGTAGTGATTCTAAACTTTTTTTTTTATTACTGTGTACTTAAAAATTACAATAATTCTTTTGATTTTTTCATATTTTATGCCGTTTACAGAGTGGACTAATCTTAAGACTGTTAAAAAGCCAAGAATTTTGTATGCAACAAAGAAGTCCACTTTAAGGTGATCATGTAGTTTTTTTTTAGTTTAATTTACTGATTAGTCATCTTGGTACATTTTACATCTGCATTTTCATTCCTTGATTATCATACATATGTTAATTCAGAAGTATAATGCCATACCTCTGTAGCTTTTCATGCGAGGGTGGGGGATTTCTAAGATAAAAAACCCTTGGAACAGAAAGATCAAGCTATGGCAAGAGTTCTTTATACACTGGCTAATCATTAGAGGTTATCTATTTAAAAAAATAATAATACGAATTTAGAGAATTAGTTGAAAATGTTATATGTCTATTACCAAGAAGTTAACTGTATCACATTTTTGTACATGTGTGTCTTTCAGCTAAAGAAGCATTTGAAAAGAGAGTGTCTCCTATAATAATAGACAACACAAACATACAAGCGTGGGAGATGAAGCCCTATGTTACTTTGGTTAGTATGATAACTTGAGCAATGTGAGAGGAAGGAGACTGTTGACCAACGTGAAGACGTATGTTTTAAAATGCAGTTATTGTTCTCTGTCCAGCCCTTGTTTCTCTTCCACAAGGCAGGATGGAGCCCACAGCGTGGAGTCAGAATAGTGTCACACGGTATTATATTGCATCATGTCACGCACCCCATATATGCCTCAGTATTGACTTGGCCTGGTTTCTAAGTAGCAAATCCCAGTGCTTTGTACTTGGAAGCAAATATAACTTTTGTAGGGGAAAGCAAATTCGAGTCCTCTTTGTATGTTATCATCAAAATTATAAGCTTCTTTCTGTTATTATTCATACCAGCTAGTGCTGATTGTATGTTTGATGCTCTGTGAAACAGCCTTGTTTACCTCTCTGTCTAATACAGGATGAGACTAACAGCCAAACTGGAAGGGGGGCTAATATGTTGGTTTGTTCCGTGAAGATTAGCCTGAGGATAAAAGTTGTATTTATTTGAGAATAAATATAACCTGCTCTCAGAAATTGCTTGCCTTTACATTGCAGTGTTATAGTGAACTGCTATCGGTGGGAATTTTTAAAAGCAGTTGTGAAATGTTAATCTTGCTAGAGAATAGACAGACAAACTCAATCATTTATATTGAAGAGATGCAAACAAATTATGGCATCTGTGACACCTTAGTAGCTCAGTGGAAGGTGACCTGCTTTTATTTTGTACTACGCATATGCAATCTCCATTTAACCTGCAGAGTTACATTTAATGATTTAAATGACACGGTGAACTCTGTTACAAGGCTCTCCTACTCTGGTTTCTGGATAACCTTTCATTTTTACTGAATTTCAGCCCTTCTAGGATCTAACTCTTATTTTGATCATTGGCCAGTCATAAGATGCTAAAGGAAGGGGTATCCTTCCAACATAAAATGTTACACCTTGCTGTAGTGTTAGGAGAACAACGTTTTGTTTTAAAGATGTACCATGGATGTGCTGGGAGCGAGGGAGGGATAGACAAAACATCCACTAATCATTATGCTGCAAACAACAGGTAGGTTTCCAATTGGATTTAGCAAAGGAATGAACTGAGATGAGAAGTGAGAGTAACTTAGTGAGTGTGTTGCCCTCCTGTAATTTTGTCATACTCTGGGTTTAACCATAGTTTTGAATAGTGCTCTAGCTTCTGCTGCTCACGCTGTGTTAGTTTTGTTGATGAATGGTCTTCACTCAGCCAGCTTGTACTTCTTGAGCCCTGCTGGCTTTCCGAAAGTGGATCCTGTGGGATTTCTCCTGCACACATGCGGGAGCCTGTGCAGCAGCACCCGGGGCAGAACGGGCGGCCACTGAGCAATTACCTACGGGCTCTGCAGATTAGTGAGCAGTGAGACTTGCATCCCCGTCATTTCTGTGAACAAAAATATTGATTTTATTATACTCGCTTCTGTTAACACTTGACAAAGTAACGGGTCTGTTAAAAAGACTCTGATTTTGCTCTATCTTGAAGTAATGGTATAACAAAAATTCTTGCAGGAAATGCAGGGCGTGAGTAGGGTTCTAAGAAGCTTTTCCAAAAACAGGAATGGTAGGAAATGACATAGCACTTACAGTGTTGATCCTAATGAGACTTTGGGCTGCTTTTCCCTCCTGATGAGACTAGACCATATAAGGACCATAGACTTACATCGTCTTGACTTGTGGTTTTCCATGTTTCAGGAAGGCTCTCCCTTACATCTGCACTAGTGACTCCGGATTGCTTCCATTCCGGAACTGGTTTGCCTCTGGTAAACTCTGAATGGAAGCAGTGTCTTTGTCTGTGAGAGACAGTGTAAACATGCCCGTAGCCTTCCTGGAAAAGGGAGATACTCTGCGCTCTGACCTGGGAAGAGGTGGAATGTTTGAAGGAAGGATACAAATAAATTAAAAAATCACTATAAATACCACGTTTTGAGTGTGTGGCAGGGGTGAATGTTACCTAGAGACTTGGATGTGAAACCTCTCTGCCTGTCGATCAGCGATACTCGACTGTGATCATGGTACACACTTTACAGTAAAAAATGTGTGTGTATGTATGTATATATACACACATATATATATGTACATATCATACATGCAGTATGAAAAGTCTCCAGGAATGAACACTGAACAAAAATTCCTGGTTTCAAATATTAAATTTGTTTTGAGAAATGCAAAACTTGCTTTGTTAAAGCTGCCTGTGTTTTCTGTACATTGTATGTTTTTCTATAAAGAAATGGCTGATTTGTCTTTGCTTTATTTTATATCTGCTGTATTTAGGCTCAGCAGTTCAAATACAAAGTCATGTTTCGAGAGCCAGACACTTGGTGGAAGTTTAAACCAAAGGAACTTGAAAGGTAAGAATATAAAGGAAAAAATCCTAATAGATTTTACATTTTTCTTGTTCTGTGTCCTTGTATTTTTAAAAAATGTACCACTTAGTACAGTGACTTGTGAGATAATAAGAGATCAATGAGGATTTTTGTGATAAAATCCTGTAATTGTATTTTATCTTGATTATTTTGCATGCAGTCTTAACTTTTTTTCAGGGTTTTATATAGTATTATGAGAATTTTCTCCTGTCAATTTAATTGCATACAAAAGAAACTGGTTATTATCAGTAGTGATTATGTAATGCTTCCATGACTGCACTTCCTTTGGGTTTGAGGTGCAGTGACGGCCCCTTTGGGATCCCAAAACTGCAGAAACAGTGTTGGATGTGTCTGTGTTTGCGTGCAGTTGGTCTGTTGCCTTACTTGGAACATGTCTGCAGCCACTCAGCGTAGGGCAGTTGGTACTTGGAGGATTGAGAGGAGCAAACCCTTGCTTGGGGTGGATCAACACTGTTTGTCTGTCCTGCCGCAACACCTTTTACATTGTCTCCCTTAGTAAACTAAGAACCAGATAGGAGAGATAGGAACCATTTAAGTGGATGCTAGAGCAACTGGAAAACAGACTGGGAGCTGAGTTGGGAACATGGTGGTCAGTTGTCTAGAAAGCAGCTCAGGAGGTACTGGTGTCTCTCAGGGGTGGATACGTGGGTGATGTGACAGTGCAATCCCAGCAGCTTTGCAGATGTTAGTTTTGAGCATCATAGTTTGTTCAGCATGAAGGAGAAAAAGTTAAGAAAGGCTCCTGTTGCTGGCTCCCCAACCTATTGGGAAGTTAAAGAGAAGATGAAAAAGGTCTCTTCTGAAGCATGCAGGGATAGGACAAGAGGAAATGGACACAAATTGGAACATGGGAAATTTTGATTACATCTAAGATTTTTTTTCTTGTATGAGGGCACTCAAGACTTGAATCTGGATGTCCAGAAATTTTATGGACTTTTCATCCTGAGATATTCAGAACTTGACAGGATAAGGCCCTGTACATAGCCTGAGCTAGTTGGACCTGTGCCGGATAGGGTGTTGGGCAACGTGGTCTCCAGAGGTCCATTTCAGGGTAACTGAAATCTGTGATTTTCTCATAAGCTCACATGATGTGTCTTCACCCAAATTTCCATGTGTAGCTTGAAGATGGCCATGCTTCCAGGGTGGTATAGTGGACTATTTTCTTTCTGAAAAATGGAACTGAGTAGAAAGTCACTTCAGTAGGAGTCAAGGACTGCCTGCTTCCCACTGACTGGCAATATCTTGCTCCTCTAAGGAGCAGGAGCGCCTCACAGTCAAGCCTGGATGAGGCTTTCAGATATTCCAGAGAGCTGAGGGTAGCTTTGGATTATTCAGAATCCAACTATTGGTTATTCTGATACTTGAAGAAAAGGCATTATTGATGACTTTTTTTTTAGATTTTTAGTAGTAGGCAATAAAACCTCTTGCAGAAAAGGGCCACCAGATGTTATGAAGTGGGGCAGGAGTTTGCCCAAAACTTCCTGTTCTGAACGACTTAGTGCACTGATACAGAAAGAATTCCCCTTTCAGCTTTGGCCTTGGCCTCCTGTGTTCTCTGGTTGGTCTTGCTGTACACTTTTTTAAAAAATTTTTTTTTCCTCCTCAGTCTTTTTAATATACAGATCTGAACTTTTTTTTTTTTTTTTTTTTTTTTTAAAGTCTCTTATTCTTTTTTAATCCAGGCGAAACATTCATGGCATATCTAAAGAAAAGATCAAGCGAATGCTGGAACGGTATGAACGCTGCCTTTCTGTTAGTTCAATCTTGAATTCTTCAGTCCCAGAGAAATCAGAAGCTGCTGGATGGAGTGAAGATTCTTCTCAAGAAGAAAGCTCTAGGTTAGATATTTTTACTGTCTTTGTATTCTCAAATAAATGAGTAAGAACTTAAACTTTCTAGGAGTGGAGACTGGCTAATGCTCTTCAACTGTGAATGTGTTCCAAAAATTAGTTTTATAAAATGCACTACTTTTTTTCCTTTGATATTTAAGAATATGAAGAACTTGGAAAAGAGTAATCAGAGAATCTGGTCAACTTTCCACTTCTTTTTGAAAATTCCTTGGTCTTTTTGAAAATTCCTGTGTTACCTTTCAGCTTGCTTTCTCTTGTCTTGGAAATGTGCTGATAGATCTATACTGCAATTAAGGATAGTTAAAATAGCTAACAGGCTTTTCAGAAAGATGAAGTTCCATATGCAGTGAGGTTACTGATTACGAGTCTCTGTTTTGGTATAATGCAATGCCTTTGTCATAAGAGAGGGATTCTTAGTGTAATAGGAATGAATCTTGTGCTTGTTCTTGTGGAGTTTATTTAATGTAGAATTGGGTAAATTTATGATGTTGTATATGTGGGGCTATTTTGTAGTGGCTGATCTGAGTAATGCTGTACATGCATTCTAAAAATGCATGGGAAATCAGATATTACAGTAGTTAGGTTGACAGTCTCATATCTTGAAAATCTCATTTATTTTTAAATACCTAATATGAGGTGGACTCTGGCAATTAATGGAGAATAGCAGGTTGTGAAAGACATTACTACTTGCTGCTTAATTTCTAGACCTGCTTAGAATCTAGTGCTGAGGATCACATAGCATTCATTGGATACACATAGTTACCAGGTTTGGTGATATCTAGGAGGAGATTGCAGGCAGTAGCCTGCTTCTCTATATAACTGGATGTTAGGAAAGGGGAAAGATAGACTACTGGGCAAGTGTTCTTAGCCCCCTGATGAAGCAAGAGGGATACTTAGCAAGTAAAGCTCTTCTTTACTTGCTTTCTTTTTTTCTTAATGAGTCCCAAGGTTTGTGCTAAGTCATCTTAAATTTGTTTCTTTTCCTCACAAGATTTTGGAGTGTGAGGCTGGGAAGATTTCATACCTATTCTCCATCTGGATGATTAGAGTGTGTTCTAGCAGGCAGCTTTTGATCTGTATCTTGAATATGTTAAATATCTGATTCAGAATTAAAAATATGAATAAGGACAGGTGCTTAAAAATGTTTCAGATGGGTGTATTTTTCATTCCAAATTGTCTTTCAGAAGGAGAGAGACCCATTCTGACGTAAAGGAAGAAAGACCTTTTGCTTCTAAACAGGAGCCTCTTGCATCAGCTGAAGATAAAACCCCTTTGTCTGCTACTTCTTTAATATTAGAAAATAATTCTGCTCCTGGAGGTTTTCAGGAAGAGGAGAAAGAACTGGAAAAGGGCTCAGTGGAACACAGCTCTGAGAACACCGCTGTTCAAGATGACTTGGATATCTGTTTGTCAGATCGTGAAGAAAAAGTACTGCTTTTTGAGAAAAAAGAAGAAAAGGGAGAAAACATAGAAGGAAGTACTGAAACAGAAGTGGCTGAGGTAGATGTGACTAGCTCTGAAGGGGCTGTTTGCTTGCAAGTGCCTCTTCCTGAAAGAGCTGAAGAAGGTAGTGATAAGAGTGTTGTTGAAGGTGAAACTGAAAGCAGTGAAATAAACGCAGAACCAGAATTAACACAAAGGAATGATGTTGTTGAAGGTGAAACTGAAGTTGAACAACACAGTGAAATAAATGCAGAACCAGAGTTGACACAAACAAATAATGTAGTTGAACCAAGCAGTTCAGTTTTGGATATGTCAGGAAAGCCAGAGTTACTAAACTTCCTGGGGGATTGGCCTATAGAACAAACGATGGGACAGAGGGTCAAAAGACCTAGAAGACTAGAAAAATCTTCCAAGACTGATAAGGAAGGTAAAACTCCTAGTCAACTTCCTTTTGAGTTAGGTAAGGAACAAGTGGGCCTGCCTGATTCTTGTACAGTTGAAAAAAGATTGGAGGAAGAGAATGTGTCTGTTAGTTCAGATAAAATTGCCCCAGAATTACAGATGGTAGGACACTGGCCTCTCTCGGGTTCTTTAGAACAGAGACAGCAAAGGTCGAGGAGAGTGAGGAAGACCAGTCTAAATCAATCAGATGAAGGTATGAGTACTAAAGATGACAGTAATAGAAATGCTCTTGACACAGTAGATGTGCTTCGTGGGACACCTGTGGACACTCTGGAGCTGCAGGATACGAAGAAATTGCAACCTGAAGCAGTAGCTAGTGAAACAACTACTGAGAAAAAAAATCAGCAAAATAAAAGAACAAGGAAACATCACAAATTAGCTCTCACTTTTACAAACAATAATCTGCCTCCTCCCAGAGCAGAGGAGCAGTTGTCTGTGCTTATGGCTACAGAAGAGAAACATGACACGTGCTCATATAGGCAAGTAAGCAGCTCTTCACAGACTGAATCACAGGACTTTGCTCTCTTGTGGAGACTGGAAAAGAAAATGCTTTTTCCTGAGACTGCCAAGGTGTTGCATGGCAGACTAGATGGCTTCAGACCCAAAGATGTAGATGGTGCTTCAGAGTCCCAGGAAAAAATACCCTATCGAGTGACGTATGATAAAAGTACATTTGTGGAGGAAAGTGAGCTCATCAATATTGATGAGTCTGAAAAGTTAAGTATGCTCTGCAAGCTCTTCGAGTCTCTTTCCGTTGAAGCTGTGAAAGATTTGTATGAAAGATGCAACAAAGACATTGACTGGGTCACAGGCCTGCTGCTGGACTCTGATGAGAAGCTATTCAAGGATGTCAGTACTGAATGCTTGCAGACAGGGGAAGCTGAGGCCGTTGCCACAGGCCCTGATTTCAAGGCAAATGCAAGCTGTGGTGAGAATCCCCCAAATCCTCAACAAACCCAGCAAGTATTTGGGAAAGAAGCTATTTCTGAGGGCCCAGAGAACAAGAACTCCTTGATCAGCGTTGCAGAAGGTAGTACTACCACAGTAACTGGGACAGGTGCTGATATATCTGACTCATTAACTGCTGTCTGCGTGAATGATTCAGCAGAACACCAAAATCCCAGTGATGCAGCTCCTGGAATTGATGCAGCTGGCTCAGCAGCAGATATCACTGAACAGACCATGTCAGAAATGCAGAAAATAGACAGGCAGCCTGTGAGTACTGCTGAGGAAACCCAGAACAAGCAGTCAGCTTCTCCGCTTGATGCAGGTTTATGTGGACCTGTGACTTCACCTCATGGTCTTCACACAACTCCTGCCAATTTGGAAATCAAATTAAATAATGAAAATGGCAGTAACCTTTCAGAAAGTGGTACAGAGAATGGCAAAGTCCATAATACAGCTGCTTTGTTACTGGAAATGGATCAAACATCTCAGAAGGATCCTACAAGTAATAAAGAACTAGAATCTGATAAAGAAACCCAAGGGAGATCCAGGGAGGTATTTGGTAAAGAAAAAAATGAACCTCCAAATTGGGATGCCCAGATAGAAAACCCTTCAGCAGTACCCTCTGTGGCCTTCAATATAGACTGTCTAGAGCTAACATTGCCTCCGGAACTGGCACTCCAATTGAAAGAGATATTTGGGCCTGTTGGCATTGATGCAGGTATGGGCAAAATTATAATCCTTATTTTTTTGTGAAAAGTTTAGCTAAGGAAAACCTTTTCTTCTTTTTCCTGTTCTTCCCTTCTTTCATGATTGGTTTTCAGAAGTAGAATTGTACAATCCCCTTGGCTACTGTTGTATTGCTTTTGTTAATTTAAAAATGGAACTGAACATGGTGTAAAATGTAGATAATAGTACTGAAGGTATCAACCTTCTGCCTGTATCTATCTCTTCATCCATGCACATCCTTTAAAAGCATGAGAAAACAAATTAGCTTTTCTTTTGAGCAACAGGCCTTTGAGCTTGTTTTCAACCTCAGGCTATGGAATTGATGAGGCTGGTGCAAATGTTGACTGTTTGAGGGTCGTGATGTTGATGTTTGATAGCGCTGGCTACATTGGGGAAGAAGAAGTCAAGCACTTGTTGAGACAGAAAATTAAGTAAGGCTGTAACAAAAGATGAAAACAAAATGAAACACCACAGCGGGCTGCTGGGGGAACATGGTGAGGAAAACCATAATCAGCTTGAACGTGTATCAAGATATGAAATGCGAAGTGAAAACTAATAAAAGAAGGGAGATGGAAAAAATGCAATAACATACTATTTTTTTCTCTTCCTCTCTTTTTTTTTTCCTTCTTCCTTTTCCCATGAAAATTGCTTGATGTGAAGTCTTCCGTGCATAGTGGGTGGCTCTGGCTGCCAGCCTTTCTGCCTTACATCCCTATCCTTCCAGGAATCGAGTTCCTTTTTGCTAGCAGAAAGGTGGCTTTGGTGTTTTAGATCTGTGCTGCTTTTTTACGATGTATATGAGAAAGATAACTATTAGAAAGGTATGTCAGGAGGAAGATATATCATGACACCATGATGGTTACTGCTGTTTCTTTTGGAACAGGAAGGGATACTTGGAGTTTGTTTTTCAGTTATGTTAAAAGGAGAGATGTGATTGCTGTGGGATATTGGCTAATACGTTGTGTTATGTAAAAACAATTGCATATGGATTGCAGTTAAAGAGGAGAACTGAAATTTGTAACTAATATTAATACTGTACTTTAGTTGCTTGGATAATACTCTGTAATTATAATACTCTGTGCAGAATGCCTTAATGAATATATTTTCTCCTTTCCATAAGGATCACTAACCGTTGAGGACTGTGTGGTTCATATTGATCTGAATTTGGCAAAAGTGATTCATGAGAAATGGAAGGAATCGATTCTGGTCAGTAGCTTCCTTGTTTATGAAACATTATGTTTGTGCTTTGGCAGACCACTTGTCTCTTCATTTGTTGTTGTTGATTTGTTTGTAAGATGTAAATAGCTTTGGGAGAACAGTAATAGAATGTGATTATAATTTCTGAGATGTATAGTTTATCAATGTGTCATAGGGAATAATCATCAGAGCTGTAAAAAAAGTTTAAAGGCTGAAGAAATTGCATGCTGTGCATCCTAACAAATGAGGGGGAGCATCATCACAGACAGTTTCAACAGAAGATTGACAGAAAACGTTGTCTAACCATAACTAGCCTTTGGACTTGAAAGAGAAATTCTGAGTATGAATTATTCTGTATGGAAAATGTCCCCATGTGCAGTAATTGAGAAAAATTTTCTATCCTCACGATTTCCTGCCACTGTATGTTCTACCACAAAGCACAGCCAGGTTCTTCATGGCTCTGTGTGTGTGTGTGTATATATATATAGCCGTATATATATATATATATATATATATATAGACTACAATTATAAAATCTTAGCACTTCCTCTAGAGACACATTCCTCTAGTTTGCTAAGCTGTTGGAAATATAGCTGTGCCTTTCAAGTGTTACTTCTCAAATATTTTTCTTAAATATAGTTCTTTTAAAATATCCCATCTTTGAGAAATCCTGTGAAACATCATTTTGAAGCTGGATTACCTAGAAGCGAACGCTTGCTGCATTTTCCTGCGAAATTCTATATTTATTGCCTTTTAACATTCATGGTTTTGCTATTTTTATTTAGAAGCGTCAGAGGAGAGAAGATGAATCACGCAAACTGCTTGCAGAAGGTACACTGTGTATTTCCCTGTTCTGTAAAAATATTTAGTTCTTTAAAAATTCAGTAAGGTTGCAAATACTCTGGCTGTTGGAAAAATGGTAGATTCATTTAGTAAGCAACATTTTCATTTATTGGCCTTACTTCCATTAACTGTTCTCTGAAAGATACAGAAAAAGAAAACCAGCTAATTATAAGTCCTGTTGCTGATCCCAGCCAGGTACAGCCAGGTACATAGTGCATCGCTGTGATCTCCAAGGGAAGCCTCTGTGGGCAGAGCAGGCACCGCTCCAGCCCAGAATTCCTACCAGGATAAGACTTCTGCAGGGCAGGGTCACAGGTCAGGGTGTTCACAGCTTCTTTTGTCCTTCTTGGAGGAACTGACTACAGCAGGAAGATGCAAGTCCGTGTTCAGAAAGTCTTAGACTCTTTGGTCACCTCAGCTCTGAGGAAGAAATGTCTGTTTGCTGCACAACCCATGCACGTGCGTGGACCTGGGGGACCACTCGATCCCAGGGCAGAGGCAGCCTCTCCACTCACATGGCCACATGGAGCTTGTACCTTTAGCTCGTGGAAGGTGCAGGAGGCATCTGCCCTTAAGCTGTAGAGGGAAGAGGCAGGCAGGTAGATGTGAGTGTGAAGAAACTGGCTTTCAAAAGTGGGCAAACAAACCCTGCCCTTACACGTGTGCAAGGTAGCTCACCGCAGTAAGTCTTAGCACTTGAATATTTAGTTGGTATCTGTAGTTTTGCTCTTGTTTTGGAAAATAGATGAAGATCGTTTAGTCTTTAGAAAATAGAAAAGAATATGGTAAAAAGAGGGTGTTGCTTTTTGTGTTAATGATGACATTTTAATAACTACAAAAAAAAACCACCAAAATGTCTAGGCTGGGAAACAAAAACCATAATTACTTTTTGCCTTTGCTAATAGAAGTAAGTTAATAATTGTTTCATTTGGCACCTCTCTTTATTGCTTTTGAAGGTCCCACTCTGAGTCAGCAGACAGATACAGATGACTCAGAAGTGCAGTTATCACAGAACGCAGACAGTAAAAAGCAGAATAAAAATTTGAGCTGGATTTCAGAGTCATCTAATGACATTCAGACTAAAAAATCGGCAGCGTCAGAAGCCTTCCCATTTATGGATCACTGGAATGCTCAGATTCAGAAAGTTTCTCTCAGACAAATAATATCTGAAGAAATAGCCATGCAGGAGAAACAGGATCTCGTATGTATATTACCCCTTTTTAATGCAGTATAACTTCAGTATCGTTACTAAAGCAGAATATGGCTTATCTGGAGACTCATTTTCTGCTGCTGACAACAGTCTGAATTCAGCAGAGAAGTGTGTGCCAGCTGGTATTGATTACTGTAATGCAAAAGTTTGTGATTAATGTGGCTGCTTTTAAAATAATTTAAATATATAATATTTTAGTTGTTTCACAAACAGTTCATGCTGAATTTCACTGTAAAGGTTAGCATTTGCATTGGTTTGAAATGTGTTTTATTTCGATGGCTTGCTTTAAAACAGAGGTGGATATGAGCAGTGTGACTTTTTTTTCTCACTCCTTGGTGGGAAAGCTGCATCAAAAAAAAGCTAGCTGCATGCCCTGTTTGTTTAGATACTGCTTTTGACACTTTCTATAGGGAGAACTCACAATGTTTCTAACAGATGAGCTAAAAAAAAAAAAAAAAGTTTTGTTTTCATCTGAGTTGGTTATTTTTTTGTACTGACTTTTGAGTGACTGTTGAGTGTTTTTTATGCTGACTGTTGAGTTTTCTGCTACTTTTTTTGTTAATTTTGTGTTTTCTTTAGTTTCCATACTCTAGCTGGTGCATGTGTATTATTGCCCTCTACTGGATGACAATTCATAACATAAATTTTAATTTTTGGTCATTGTATTTTAATTTTTGGTCATTGTTTCTGATAAGTAGCTGTCCTAAAAAGTGCAGCTCTATTCCCAGTGACATACAAAGTTGGATGTCATTAGCTTCTACTTTAAAAGAATGACTTGTGGTTTCGTTCCTTGAACCACATGTGTGCGGCTGACCGATAACAACAACAGCTGCAGATTTATTTTCAGTTTGAATTTATAGAGCATGGCTTTTTGCTTTAGGTTTTTTTTTTAATGTAAGTGTTGGAATGATCAGTCCTATTTATTCGAGGTTATAATTTGGTTGTCTACTCAGCCTGACTTTACTGATGTATTTATAACAGTAGAGCTACAAATAACATACACCAAGACAAAAAAGTTTCCTGAACAGAAACTTCAAAACAGAATTCCAAAACTGAAACACATTCTAAAAATCCTTCTCATTCTACTTCCTCTGAGATGAGGGAGCTGCAGCAGTGTATTGTATCTGTTACCTTTTCTTCTTGTCAAGTCACTCTAGTGGGCTGATACTTGCTTGTTGCTGCTGGAGGTACATGCCTATTGAGTAGATATTTTTTGAAATTGTAGCAAATAACAGTGTAATTAGGTTAGATGCATTGTTAACATATTTTGTTCTAATGGTGAGCATGTAATACTACTTCCTTTGTCTTCTGGGTAGAAACGAGTTCCTTCCATGGCAAGAAAAGACTGTGCTGCCAAGCTAAAGGAGAAGCAACTTTTTGAGATGTTTCCAACCATTAATCAAAATTTCTTAATGGATATCTTCAAGGATAACAAGTAAGAAACCTTTAAAGTTCTTCGCAAGACTGTTGCTCAGCAGTGCTCTATGGTGCACAATTACAGTCTTAAAAATCAAGAGCTAAGAAATGGCAAAAGTTTTTTTTTTTTTTACAAAGTCCTTCTTTCTAGATTTAATAAAAGGCAAAGCTAGTTGGTCTGTAAGAGCTAAAAGGCTAAAAAGACTGTGTGTATGTATGCATACCTATGCTTGTTCCTCTGAGGTGTAGCCTGGTTCTCTCCTCAGGAGAGGAGTCTCTCCGTCCGTGGAGCTGCTGCTTTGCTCCAGAAGTGCAGTGAGAATCAAGTGGGAGAGATTAGGGGTGGATGCTGATGGTGGGTGAGCTCACGGCAAGTGGCACCCATCCCAAGAGGAAGCTGCCACAGCCTGACGTATTAGCCACTAATACTCTCAAGACTGCCACAGTAGCTCTGGAAGATAAGCCATTGCTTCAGCTCTTCCATTCCTCTCTTCTGCATTGTGTTACCAGGGTCTGGGGCTGCCTTCTTAAATCCAAGTTCCTGAGAACAGAGCTTTTTCTAAAGAAGCTTTTCTTCCTTCTTTCATTCTTCACAAGTTGCCTTTCTTTCTACTCGTATGTGTTTGCGTGCTCGCTTGTCAGTCTTTCTGCTTGTCCAGGTTGTTAGCAAAACTGTTCTTTGTGGAATGTATAAAATACTTCTTAATCTGTTTCTACAGCTCAGACATTCCACTACCTCCTGTTTTTTCACCTTCTAGTTTCTCTTCATAGTGAAGAGAATTTCCCCAAATCTCTCTCTACTTTGGATCAGACTTCTTTTTGTCTATTTACTGAACAGCATGAAGAACAAAGAAAAAAAGAGAATTTACTAGAAATCTGATGGCAACTGGTGTCCTACTCTTATTGCATTAAATGTCATAACTGAGCTTGACTGGAAGTTCATGGGTTGCCTTGCACCACTGTTTCAGAAAACTGAGGTAGCTTTAGCCGAGTCTGTACTATCTAACCGGGCCAAGAGGATATTAAGATGAAATAATATATCCTGCACAAATAGCAGTGCTTCTAAACTGGTGTCTGTTTCACTAAGGTATTGTGCAATTCACTTCACTTAGTTTTTGTGTGTCATTGTAATATCCCAGTGCCCCTCAATCACACCCTGTCAATCAAGACTGCATGTGTGTTGATACTATTAATGTAATACAGTGAGTCTTCAAGATTTTTTTTTGTGATAAATAGATGGAAAATTCAGTTCCAGTGCTTTATTTGCATTGACATCTCTTTCTGTAGCAGTATAGAAGTCCATAATGTGTATTCTATTAAATGTAGCAGCTGTTAATGTATTTGTCAAGTTACAGATTTTACTTATCCTTTACAGCTATTCTTTAGAACAGACTGAACAGTTTCTGAACTGTGTTCTGGAGGCAGATCCTGTAAAAACAGTTGTAGCTCAAGAAAGTGCTCAGCAGAATGAAACTGTTCCTTTCTGCAGTGCTGCAAAGAACCGTGAGAAGAAGGTATATTTTCATAGTGTACTACAAACTTACCCCAAGTCTTGTCGGTGAAAGGGCTCTGCAATGCATACTTAGCTTCAACATTGCTAATTCCTACAGGCAAAAAAAAGTAAGGAAGAGGAAGATACTCTGAATGAAATGATATTCCAAGACTTTGAGTATCCACAATATGATGATTTGAGAGCAGAAGCTTTTCTTCACCAGCAAAAGAGACAGGAATCTTTGAAAAAAGCTGGAGAGGCCTATCGCATGGGTATGAAACCTGTGGCAGCTTTTTATGCACAGCAGGTAAATGTAAATATTGTACTTTTCTTCTCAATTTAGAGAGATTCTTAAATAACATGTTGGAAGCGATCAGAACAAAATTTTCCCTACTGCAGTTGATGAATTTCCTCAATTACTGTTCTCTGCATATGGTTATATTGGAAAATCTTATAATTAACCTCATCTTCATTAGCAATGATGCAGCTGATGTAACCAAATTCTGTGGGAGACCTTAGGAAATGTGATAATTAGGTGCTCAGTCGCATATGTTCATTTTTGTTTACATTTCAGTCCCACTTATGCAGATACCCCCATAGTTGCAAGTGCCAAGATTTGTGTCCATGTGCTCTTGTGCACAACACGGAGTGAAGAAACACCAGCTATCGGATTCTTGCTTGAGGACAGCAAACTGTTTTTAGATGACTCTTTCTAGGAATGGAACAGATAGCATGATCTAATCTATTGCCTCAGTGTCTTACCTCTTCATCCTGTATAAATCCCGGGCAAAGCTGCTGCCTGGGGCCTTGTTTCCTTATTTTGGGTCACTTGATGGCAAGAGTCTGTTTTCCTGCTGGTGGTCACACATTTTACTGTCCTTCTGTCCCTGGAGCACAGGTCTCCTATAGATGAGCCATTTACTCACTGGCCGGGGAGCACCAGTCTTGTGGTGCCAATGGAGACATTTCTTGGTATGTAGTAGCTTGGTTGTTGTTGATCATATTTTTGGCTACGAATACCAACCATTCTTGTAACTCTTGCAGTACAGGGTTTCTTCTGGTGCCTTCACACACAAGACCTTTCCATTTCTACCTCATTCATATCACATTCAAAAATTCTGTTACAGATCTCTGCAAGGACTTTTCAGTAATCGTTGGCATATGTAGAATGAGAGGTGACTTTTTATTAAAAAAAAAACAAACTATAATTTGCATCATGACAGAACAAAAGGACACTTCTGAATTTACTTATTATCTTTAAAAAGCTTTTCTGCTACTTATTTAGAATATTTTAGAATACATGTTTGGATTATTACTATACATGTGTGAAACACTGAATATCTTTTTAATGAACGACTTTTTATATTCCTGGTCTGTATATTCTTGAAGTTTAGGGAGATCCTTAACACAGGTCCACATAAGTTTTGATTACAAATTTAACTTCAAGTCCTAACTTGCTGTTTGTCTTAAGAATTAAGGACAATAATGCTCTGGAAATTAAAATATATTTTCTTTTAGGTAATTAAAGGAAAACTATTACCTTTATTTGTGAAAAATACTTTGAGCTTTATACTTGGTGGCTTTAGTCTGCCCTGGTAATCCTGTGCAAGTGGGAGCTATGGGGCTGATGTCTCTCGTTTGACGCCAGGGTGCTTCACCTGATTTTCCATTTGAAGAAAGCATAAGACAGGCTGCCACTTCTGTTCTTACTTGAGTGTTTGCTAGACCAATACCTAGAGTTACATGTTCCATTTCTTTTCAAACTCTGGCTGCAGATCTGCAAAGGTATGAAGTGTTGCTTCAGTCTCTTGCAGGCTGCCGCTGCGAAGTTCATAGGAAATAGTTGGTACTGTTCTTGTGCCTACAGGGTGCAACGTGAGTAGCTGCACTGCTCTCACACCCAGTTCTGGGAGGGAATGGTCAAACATAAAAGATCAAACATAAAAAATAAGTACAGACCAGGCATCTATCAGAAAAGTGCTTGCCCTTCTTGACTAGCATGATTTCAAGGGAATGTGTTAGTAGAGGCAACCTCAAATATAACATGTGGGCTGTTTGTAAGTTTGGGCATGATTTCATTGTGCTTTTAGCAAAATATTTTAAAAAAGTAAGCCACCATTTTTAGAATAATACATTGAAAACGAACATGGACTGTGACTTTGGTCTGTATAAGGAACTTACGGTTTGTGAACATTTCTTTATAGTTTCTTCTCTGTGTCAGCTTTGAGTAGTTTCTTAAAAACTACTCAAAAAAAACCCCCACAACATCTCCTTGTGTGTGGGTCTTACTGAGTGCCTTCGAAGTTCTGTTGTGATGGTAGCTCACAGTTTGAAGCAGTGAAATCTAGAAGGGCCCTGCCAGACACCAGAGGTGTCAGTTTGAACCTGAGCCCCCAGAGTGGAGCTTGGATTATGTCTTGGAGTGTAATGGTGGATGTGCTTGTGAATAAAGGGTCGCCTTCACGAGCAGAAGATGAAAGAAGCCAACCATGCGGCTGCCATGCAGATCTTTGAGAAGGTGAATACTTCCCTGCTGCCCATGAATGTGTTGGATCTGCACGGTCTTCACGTGGACGAAGCTGTCAATGAGTTGTCCAGAGTGCTGCAGGAAAAAAGTGAAGGTAGGATAAGCTAGTAATACTTAACCAAACAACCAAAACCCACCCAAGTTACCCCATTTTCCTAATTTCCAAGAAATCACGATGTGTGGCAGTGCCAAAATGTCTGACTGTAAGTGAGTTAACTTAGCAGAACAACTGGCTTCTTGTGTTGTTTCATTTTTAAAGCTCCCACAATTAATTGTTTGTTTGGCATGACAGTAATTCTTCCTCCTCTCTCTGTGCTTTTTTTTTTAACCTTCCTTTTCTTTCTGTTCTATTTTCTGCTTTTTTTTTTTTTAAGACTCGATCTGTCCCTTTCTTATTCATCCTCCTTCCTGACACTTGTAACAAAACCAGTGGTGCAAGCATCCTTGTCACCTTTGCTCTGCCTTGCCAGAATTCTCTTTTAATCTGTAAATAGAAATCACTATGGTGAGATTCTAATCACAATGATTATAAATTCTTCAACTTTTAGGTAAAAGTGCACAGGTTGATATGTCTTTCAGTAACTTTTGTATGGATTTGTCTTAGACATACCTTTTTTCAATATAGCTTAGAAGTTACTAAATCGTGTTATCTTTTGGGCTACTCCTAAAAAAATGTTTGTATACCTTCAGCTGTACTAATGCTTTTTAGAGTTTTAATTTGCCAAATGTGTGCCTACATTGGGAATCCTGGATATGGTGGGGGGGTCCCCATTCCGTTCAGTTTCCTAATTTTAGAAAACATTTATTTCAGTGTATGTTATATGTAAATCAATGAGCCCATAGTCCTGGCGGTATTAACAATAAACTAATACAAAACCCAAATCAAGTTGGACAAGAAAAGAGGATAGGTTAGGAGTGATATCACATGAAGTCATAATTTTTAACTGGCAAATCTTGAGTTGTTGTGAGAATTCAGTTTCATTTATATTTTTTTTCCTTGTTTTCAAACTCTTAATTAATTTACACTATTATGATATGGTTTAGGAGAAGTAGTATTTCCTTTTTTTTGCATAGATAGATACCCTAATAAAGTTCATATCATATGTTGATATATTGATTCATGCGTTGCAACATTGCAGAAGTCAGTATTGAAGTAAGTATAGGTCAAAAATGACGTGAATTTGTGTTTTCCTTCTTTCCTCCTTTCTCTCTTTATCTAGTAAAATCTATTATATTTTTATTCACGTTATCCTAGCATTCAAATTTTAACTACTAATAGAAAGACTCTTACAAAATTAACCTAATTTGCACCCTCCCTTTTTTAATTTTGCAATTTTACTTGTCATATTCATTTATTATTCAGAGGAGGTAAATTCCAAGTAAAGATTAGGTGATATGTCTAGTAAAGCTGCTCTGAAATTAAAATGATTTTGTGATGATCACAGTGTGAATATTGCCATTAAGCTGGATAAATCTACGTTTTCTTTTTCTCTAAATTCTGACGTTGAATTTTTTAATGCTAGAAGACTGGGGAAATGGCAGTATATACCTAAAAGATGCAGAGCCAGTGTTGGGGGGGGAAAAAAAAGTTTTAAATTACTGTGGTGGAGGTTTTCAGAAGTAGGGATAGAAGAGTTCTGCTGAGTGCTAAGGCTCCAGAGAGAAGGAAGTGATGGCTCTGATCCCTGCTGTTACAGAGCACCAGCGGACGGGCGGCAAACCCTATCTCTACGTGATCACGGGAAGAGGAAGCCATAGCCAGGGAGGAGTTGCTCGCATCAAACCAGCAGCTATCAGATACCTCACAAGCCACAACTTCAGGTGGGTAGAGATTTTTGCTACTGATACTTTCTTTTTCTTCTTTTTTAACCCACACTTGACTAACTGAAAATTAAAGTATTTTAAAGTACATAAACCTCACTTTATGACTCAGATCTCTTAAGCGGCATTTATTAAATCTTTTTCTGAGATAGATGAAAATGCTATAAAATAAAATCATCTTAGCACAGTTTAATTATCCACTTCCAGTCAAAGTTGCTAACTCTAGTGTGAGAAGCCAGCATTTTTTTTTATTAGGCTGCAATATGTACTTTAGCCCTTGGCATCTTGTGTGGGGGAGCAACGTAGCGAGTTTGGGCTGGTGTCAGCGTGTTGTTGCTCGCTTCCTTTACGGTAGGATGAAGGTGACTGGGAAGCTGGGGCTCGGAAGGAGTACGACACAGATTTCTCTTCCCATTTCCCTCTCATTTCTTGCAGGAGAGGAGGGGGAAAGTATACTTGGAGGAGGGAAAGAAAGGAGGAAAAGACAAGAAGCAGAATGAATTTAACCAAAAATACTGAGCCTCCCTCCTTCCCTCCCTCTTTCTCTCTCTCTCTATGTATATGTATTTCTTTTTTACTGTTCTTCTCGGTTCCTTTTGTTTACAGCTTTCACTGTAAAAATCGCCTCTTGCTGTCGTGATGTGATGCTGGTTTTTCCCTGTTCTCACATGCATTCATACTTGACTGAGAACAATGTCACTTTCCATGTGTGTGCTGAGGGCTGAAGGAAAGGGCATTGCACGAAGCTTTCGTGTTGAAGCTTCATGTTTTCTTGTTTTGCAGGTTCACAGAAATAAAATCCGGCTGCCTGAAAGTCATGCTGAGTTGAAGGATTATTGTGAAGAGAAAAGAAATATGGAAACTGAGATGTCAGGTTAAAGCTAAAAACTTTTTAAACAACTGCAATAGTATTTTGTATTCTGTTTTAAAGGACTATATTCTGTTAGGATTTGTTTCTCTTTACAGTAAGTGGTTTTGTTGGTGTGTTTTCAAGAAATTTTTATGTGGCATGGATCTGCAAAAAGATGACACAGCAATTGAAGTCTCAGAAATGCAGATAAGAATTCTGCTGAGCAGTCTATACTGTTTTAAAGGGAAGTTAAGGTACAGGTTTCAAATATAACTGTCTTCTCAGCATACATGACCTGTGACAATCTCTTGACCTTCATGTATCCTAATTGTGATGGATTCCTTGCTTTTATAATATAGTGCCTCGCAAGAAGTCAGCTTGTGATGAGAAGCTTTGTGCACTTCTCAAGACTCAGAGGAGGCAGGGATTGAACAACTACTGATGTTTGAAATCTAATGGCGGCTTAGTGCTAAATAATAATTAAAAGGGAACATATAACACTATAGTTTCATCTCTTATTTACACATAGCTGATACTCTAATACTATAATTTTGCAGGAAATTCCCCATTTTTGCAACTAACTGATGAAAAGATTTCTTTTGTTCCCTTCTCAAATCGAGTAAAATACTTTTTCATTTTACAGGTATTTGCTCCTGATGCAAATGGCTTTTAGTCCATGTGTATTATATTTGGCACTTGCCCTGTACCAATATAATTCCAGTTTCCAGTACGGTTGGTAAATAGGGTTTCTGTCACCAGTGGCAGGACTCTTTAAATATATTCCTTAATATCAAAATGAGTGCTAATGCTGCAGTAGTAACTGCCTGACTGGACAGTGTGGGAGTGCAGAAGCTGTTCTGTTGGTGATGGTGTCCATCAGCATCTGGAAGCACCTATTCAAAAAAAAGCAATTAATATGAAAAACCGGTACCTTGGCAAGTGTTTCTGGCAAGCAGTCAGAACATTTATTTCATAAAACTACTTAGATGCATTATGTCTTTAATAATACCTTTGGTTATTGGAAGGCATAAGAATTCTCTGCTACACATTCTTTTATTTTTTGACGTAGGGTTTTGTTTTTTTTCAGAACAGATAATGAGTTGTATATAAAGAATGATATTAATAGGTTAAGGATTAATGGGAGCGGGTTTAATTTTTAAAAAATCTTTTCCAGTAAATTTTATGCAGGAGCTACATGCACAGAGAATTTGTGTATGAATCCTTGTGTGTGGGCAAGTCCTGCTGTTTGTGTGGATAGGTTGTAATAAGCGAGGAACTTCTGTGAGAAAAGCTGTGCAAAGAAATGGGCCCCTCAGCTTCTCTTCAAAATACGTCCGTATAAACTGCCGACAGACTGAAACACGTGATGTTTCCTGAATATCCTTATTTACTGTAACATCTACAGTGAATGGAATGTATGGTAGACTTAAAAATGAGCTTGTTGTGCTTTAACAGATAAAGTAATCTTTCTACAGTGATTTTAAGTGGAAGAATAGCTTGAATGATATTTAATCAAAGGGACTCTTACTAGAATAATAGACCTTTGTAATAAGTTTTATACTTTTTGTGTGTACTTATTTCATCCAAATTCTGTCCCTTCACTTTTTCTTTCTCTCTGGGCTGTCTGGGCAAGCAGTGTTTAAAATACGAGAAGACCTGCTCCCCGCACAGTGCCAGCAGAGCTGTGTTTATGCCACTGCATGGTGACCTGAGCCCACACTCTATCCTCTGTGACACTACTAAGATGGACTGAGATGTCCTTTAGGCAGTTAGACTCAAGACGGCAGTTCAGACCATCTGCTGTCCTGGGCTGCACGTGCTGGAGTTGCCTCAGTGGGGCTGGGATGTTGGCTTTGGACAATCTCTTCCTGAACAGATACTTCCCCGTGCTCCTTCCTGCAGTCGTGAATGTGCAGCTCCTGGGGACACCTCCTTAATGCGCAGAGGTCCCCGCACCCATGCGGGAGTGTCCCCCATAGAGCCGCTGGGTGCAGGGAAGGGGCTGCCCTTGGGCCCGCTCAGCGAGGGGCCCCATTCACCCAGCGTGTTTAGGTCGTGCCTCGCACGGACCAAATCGGCTTAGGTTTCAGTTCAGAACGCAAGCAGAAGTTGCCTTGCCCTTTTGTTCATAACAGCCTAGTTGCCGACACGCTTACCCCAGAGGTGAGAAATGCAGCGTTTTATCCCCTTCTGACTTAGGAGGGGGATGACGATCGCACTTGACTCCTGCTTCTGCAGAAAATACCCTAGCCAGTGGGCTCACGGGTACCCTTGAAGATGCCACTTTATGAGCCTCTTTTGTAAGAGCCACTGGAAGCTAAAAATGCAAGATTAAGGGATTAAGGAGATTAAAGAATGCAAACTGCATAAGGAGTCTCTAAAACAGGGACTGGGGCTTTTGGAGAAGAAGCTTTTCCCACTGAGCTTTAGATTCCCACTTTCATATTATTTCCTCTCTTTAGCTCTGTTTCTTTGCATAACCGTTTAAGAAGTGTTGAGGGCAAAACCATCAGCTCCATCCCATGCTGTGAGAATTTTCTTCCATCTGTCAAAGACAGTGGAAGACTATGTAGCATAAGATCAATAAGGAGTTTTTTCTCTCTCCCTGCCCCTCCTTTCATTATCCTTTTGGGTAGGCATTCACTAAAGTGCTCAGAATACCTGCTTATAGATTTATTAATAAGCCTTGTGTTTGCTAAATTGAGCAGTTAGAAATTATGCGATTACAGGCTGAATGTGCATGAAGTTTAAAATCGTAACACAGGCAGAACCACTCCTGCCTTTCTTGAAACCAGAGGCAGAATGTGCATCAACTGCAGCAACTCGGGATGAGGCCCCGCAGTTCCCATTCAGATTAAGTGGAGTAAGCTCAGCCTCTTTCTTCAATAGCCCTTCAGGTGTGTGCTTAAAATTGAGCTGAGCTCATGACAGGATGGAGCAGATCAGGTCACAGAGAGCAAGGTGGCTTTTATTATTAAGAATCCCCATGCCTTGAACTAATTGCCAAACTGTCCATGATAATAATAAAAAACAAACACTGGAATTTTTATACTTCTTTTGGCTCTATTTATAATGTATAGTGGGATGAACTATCTCAAATATAATTGTTTGAAATGTTATTTGAAGGTATGTCACATTTTAGAATTTACAACCTTTCTGATGTCTTTTGCAGTTGAATCAATGAAAATTCTTGAGTTATCATGTAAATTCCATATTTTCTTGTACTTTTAATTGAAAAGAGCATATAACAGTATTGCCACCAGCATTCTGAAAATAATATGTGACTGTTCTTGTGTATCACTTTTCATTTTTTCCTTCAACAGCATGTGGTTGTGATGGCTGGTAGCCTCTAATACGTGACTTGTTTTTTTCTTAAAATATATCTATATTTTAACATTTAGTCCAATTTTTAATTTACTAAAATTACCACTGTTCCCCTAAAAATGTCTAATCAGTAGACTTCAGATAAAATAATGAAAATAAACAACACAGGTGCAATGGAAAAAGATTATTCTCCAAAGATATTTGTGTGTTATTTTTTTAATATATAACACAATTTCTATTCATTATGAAAGTAGTGAGGCAAAAAAAAAAAAAAAAGTGATTTTAAAAGATTTTAAGATACTTTCAAAGTAAAGAGTAATACTTAAATATTTTTAGGTCTTGTTATAATAATATGTGGTTCAATTTCTTTTAAACTTAGTGTTTTTCTTGGCCTGTTCAATGACATCTCAGGCAAAGTGCAGCTGGCATTTTCTGTGGCAGTTGGAAAATGGTGTGACTTGGGAATCCCTGTTCAGGCAATGTCCAGATGCCACCGTCTACCCTTCAAAGAACAGCATTGCAATGAGTAAGCATAAAGTCAGGAGGGTTTGAATGCTCCACAGAACTTATATTCTGCAGAATAGAATAGTTCTACTTGAAGATGTGAAATGTAACCAAGTTGCTATTTCATCTTGTCACAGAATTGCTGCAGAATATGGTGGGCAGATAAGTAATATTTTTTTTGTTGGCAATAGCAAAGAAGAATCATCATAAATGTACTATGATAATTATACCTAAACTTTACTGATACTTTTACTTTCTAATGTAATTCACACTTCAGAATAATATTGCCCTATTTGCAGACATGAAGAGAAGGTAGAGTACTGAAATATAAGAGTTCTTTGACTTGCCACAATTCCCGCATATCACAGTTACATTCTTTTCAAAAAAAAACCAACCTCCAAGCCTCACTGTTTGTGCTATTTCAGCTAAAAAACAGTGCTGAGTATTAAATGACTATGTATGTGAACATGCATGTGAAAAAACACAGTATTGTAGCTACCAGTTGTAAAAGCTGTTAGGACCAGTACCTTGGAGAATATCAATGTCTATTTTTAAATTAAAATGAAATTTGATTTTTTTATTTGTATAAAGTTGTAATTTTGCTGTTAACTTTTTTTTTACAGGAATACAATTTTGTAATTTACATTTAGAGTTTCTAATGCCAAAAGGAATTTACTGAATCTAGTTTAATAAAGGAATTTTACCACAAGTATAGCCTTCTGCCTTTCCTTGGAGCACTATATTTCCGTAAGTATAAAATTTTATCTCGGAGTTCTGCATGAAAGCCACTTATCTTGACTTGAGGATACCATCTGCAGAGAGAGAAAGCGACCATCTGCAGGAGTGAGAAGGAACAGATTTGTGGCCTGATTTTAAGTGATGCGAGGGGGAGCTGAATGCTCACATTACTGAAAACGAGGGTCCTGGTTTCGGAGTTAGTTTTGTGAGTTGCTGATGAGAAGCTGCTCGGGAACAACTTGCTTTGTGGCAGGGTGAGGGCAGGGGTTTATATGTCAAGAGACGAGTAACTGAGCACTGTGAAGATGGACATGGCAGGAGAGAGGTATTCCCAGGAGACCTCCTTCAGTGGAGAGCTTGTGGTGATGAGGTCAGATCCTGAACAAATGCAGCTGTATTATATGTTGGTCCAGTGCAGGTATTCCTGTGCCATACTCCTGAAACCATGGAAAGAAACCTGAGAACAAACTGCCTGCCAGAGTCTGGCACATTTTATTAGCTTAGGTAAAGAACGAGTGCTTGGATCCGAGTTAACTCCTGCTGAGACATTTTTGTGACTTTGACTTACATGGTGTGGCAACAAGCCAGCTTTGCGTTCGCACAGCAACACCCTAACTAAATAAGCTGTTCAAGCGAGTTGGGAGATAGGATTTGGAAACGTGTTAAAGCTTGGCAGATGCTACCTTAGATCTGGTATGGTCAGTGCTGAGCCACAAATACAAACTACAGAACAGGAGAATGTGTAGTTGGTTGCTATTCACAGGCCTCCCAGTTCTGGCTGTGTGGTTCATGGTCCAGCCTAGGGATTATGCTCTCGAATTGCACTGTTATAAAGTGGGAGTGCTGCTCTTAGACCTGCTTTCTCTTTGGAGATGACATAATAATATTAACAGAGGGCTCGTCCTAGAGATCTGATTTGACTCTTATCTTTGCTAAAATAGTCCAGTCATTCACGTCCCTCATTAATACACCCATTAATACATCCATTTAATGTCAATTAATACACTTAATACATTTAACCTTTGTGTTTGCTCTCTGCAGTGCACCAGCTCCTAACTCCTCTACACTGGCACCGGGGAGTTTCTACAGGATGGTGCTCTGGTGATTAACAAGAAAGGAAACTTTTGTAAAACAGACTTAAATGCTTGGATTTGGGTGACCAAAGCTGTAGCGGCAGAAGGCCACCCTAGTCCTGGTGTGCCACTTGTCCAGCATGGAAGGAGCCAGAGCAATGCATCTGCTGAAGCAGAGCAGGTCTCCACAAAGACCAAGTAGCCAAAGTTCACTCTTTATAGCTCTGAACAGCTTAGCTTTGGCGGAGAAGCCATCCCTTTTCCCCACCAAAGGGCAAATTCTAGCACAGAAGTGAGGCTGTGCTATAGCCTTTCAAAGCAAAAAGCCTCCGACACCCTTTTCAAGTAGAAGCCTGGTATTTTAACGTGCCCTTCCTTGTGCCAATGCTATGCACCTCACGGCCTTAGGAAAACCGAAAGGGAGCCGGTGAGAGCTTTGCTCGAGCTGAGGGTTACATGGGCAGGTAAATGGCCCGCGGGAAGGCGGCATCTCCTGTGGAGTGTCCGGAGTGTGGCCAATAGGTGGTGCCATTGGCAGCGGGATGGAGCAGCCGGGCCGGGAGCCGCTCGGCCCTGCCCGCCTCACAGCTGCTCCTGCTCCGTGTGAAGGCCCTGAAGGGGGTTAGGACACATCACATGGGCTTCCCTTCTTCCTCGGGGCACAATACTGTACTCAGGGTGTTGTTCTGGTGACTTTATTTTTTTCCTTCTACAGATGGGTGGGGGTTGTTTGTGAAAAGCACTTGTCGCTCTTGTGCTGGTGCTCAGAGGGGCAAGACGAGGACATGGCCGTGCCCTTGGCCCTCGTGTGGCCGGGGCTCCCCCTTCAGCTGCTGCGTGCTGTTCCTGAGAGCAGCCAGGAAGTCTGGGCAAACCCATCAGCTCGGGGCCTGACGGGAAAGAGTTTGTGTGGTTTGGTAATGCCCTATGGATATGACTCTCTCTTGAGGATTGCCTCCAACACCCTTTATTTTACCCAGGATAGTAGCCGTCCTGTAGTTGTCTTGACTGTTGCTGTCCTGAATGAAGTAGGAGCTCTGACTTGTTACGACTGTGGCATTTGATAGTGCTCTTGCCCTGACAAAGACCTTTATACTCATGGCCATTCCCTTCTCCACGCTTCTGCTAAATCCAAGAGTCCTTCCTGCCATCTAAGCTGGCCTGTCCTGTGTCCCTGGGTGCTAGTGAGCCCTTAGGACACTGAACCAGGTCTGTAGCCTCTTGTGGGTGAAAAAGCAGGTCTTTTGACATCCACCCAGAGGAAAACAGTCTGGGCAATCTCTGCAGCTTTGGGGTTGGATGAAGGTAGCTCTGTGTCCCCAGTGCCACCAGAGGTCCCCATGGGCCGAGACCCTTGCGCTGTCACCTGATGTGACAAGCTGAAAAAGAGAAAGAACTGAAGGGGGACGGAGAGTAAAAGCCACTATCTTGCTTTCTATTTGATTGTCCTCAGCTGTTTTCCATTCTCCACATGGTACTGGGTCTAAAATTAGATTTGTACTCTGCTTCTGAATATAAGTGTTTTTCATATGGCTTAGAAGATTTTTAACATGAGTTGGGGTGTGCTAAAGTATTAGCAAAATATTAAATGCTGACACATTCCTTCTGTCAGCTCAGGAGCTGATACCCGCTGCATTCTCTGGGCTGTAGGACGTTTGAGCAGGGCACTGTTTCTACAGGGGATGGTGTCTCTATGAGCAAGCATTTTTGTGAGCAGATGGATGGGGCATTATTATTCTTGTGGTATCTTGAGAAACAAGATCCTCCTTCTTACTCCCCATGAAGCACACCCAAGAGTGGTAGCGCACACTAGGCAGAGTCTTGGGCAATGGAAATCCTCAGTGTGCTCCAAACTTAGCCTGTAAGTGGAAGGAGTGGTGCTCTGGTTAGGCCAGGCTGTAGGAGCTCTGCGTTGCAAATGCTTACTCTGCTTAGGTTAGCTCACAAGGCCCCGCTTCAGATCCCACCTCCAAATCAGGGTTAGAATAGTCATCCTCTTTTACTGGCTGGTGAAGCGGGGAGCCTCAACCTAGGCAGCATGACCTCACGTGCCTCACGTACATGTCTTCCTTCAGTACAGAAGGAAATGAGGAAAAGCATGTTTAAAATACAACTATTGCCTTTATGCTTGTACTTCTCCCAAGGAAACATCAATGCCTTCAGATCTTGCTGGGGCAAGAGACCTATTT